CCTGATATGCTCACCTGTACAGACATTCAAAGGCCCTACTGGTCAATTGAGATGAGCACAGGGTTTGTTTTTAGATACTAATAATAACAGTCATGTTAACATCAGTGAGAACAGGAATGGAAAGATGTCTTGGGACCGGCTCAGCAAAGATTTTAGTCTTTCTAGGAAGTGTGAGCCGTGGGGAGTTTGGGGGACAGACTTGAGGTTTGGATGCCCCTACTTGTCAATGTAAGAAGATATACAGATCTACAATAAGGTGGATTAACACCATGGGGCAGGCGGGGGTGGGGGTGGGGGTGGGGGTGGCGGTGGGAGTGGCTGCAAAGCTGAGGCAGGAGGAACAAGGGCTTGACAGTTGAAGGCTGCCATTTGCATAGAGACTGTAAAGGTAACAGCTGCCAGGCACAAGGCTCCACAGCCTCAGGGACCACCCATGACCTCACCATGCACTCTCCCAAAACTGCCTCAGAGAGTATGGTATTACCATTTCCACCCTGCCGCTAGGCACACCGAAGCACTGAGAACACTAGAAGCTCTTTTAAACTGGGTCTGAGGTGTGATCGACATATGTCGCGGCAAGTAGATTTGCCTAGGTAACCCATACTGCCCTCATAACACAGAACATTCCGATCACATCCAAACTCTCGGTGTCCCTTTCCAGCCAACCTCCTGGTTCCTGCACTCCTCCCCTCAGCCATTTTCGGTTGGTTTCTGGCTACTCCAGTCGGTCATGTACAAATGAAATCATACTGTCTGTATTCCTTTGCGCCCCTCAGAGATGGCAGTTCAAGTGGATCAAGGAAAGGAAGGCAGAGAGCTTTAGAGGAGGAGAAATAGAGGAGAAATCTATTTTTTTTTATGGTATCTATGCAAATGAAAGGGCTGTGACCTGTTAGAATTCGACCGTGGGGCTCTGTGATGATGATGTTCTCTCTGTTCTGAGATCTAGTTCTGGTTTATACTCTAAATATACATGGAGAGCACTGAGGAACCTAGGGCTGTCCCACTCACAGTCAGGTCGGAGACCGAGAAGAGATCTTCACAAAACCAGAGCTGGAAGAAAACGGCTGAGCATGCGCGTGTTGTATTTCAAACCATCTGGTGTCACAGGCCTGGTTCAACTTCTGCATTTCATTTTTGGAACTCTTATTTTTATTTGGCTTCTAAAAATCCCCTAAACAATCCAAACACAAGAGCTTTGCCTTTTATGGTCGTTTCTGAGGTCAGCAGAGCCATATGCAAAAGCCATCTTTGTAGCCCAGAAAGAGGGTGTCGAGTTCCCTGCTCTGGAAATCTGTCTTTCTGCAGCCCGCCTGCCCACGCTCAGCCAGGGAGGCTTTCTTGTCTTACCAGAAGCTGCCCTGGAGTCAGATCCGCTTCCCCCCCCCAACTGTGGCCAGTGCTAAGCAACTGTTCCTCTTGAGAGAGAGGAAGGGTGGCTTGATGGTTAAGGCACTTGCTGCTTTATCATGAGAACTGGAGTTCAGATCCCAGGACCCACATGAGGCAGCTCACAAATGCCTGTTCCTCTAGCTCCAAAGATCTGACTCTTCTGAACTCCTACACACACACACACACACACACACACACACACACACACACACACGCACACACACTAATAATAATAATAATAATAATAATAATAATAACAATAATAACAACAACAACAACAATAACAATAGAGTCATTTTTTAAGGGGGACAATCTCAACCTCAGAGGACTTGTGACACCCATGTCCCTGTCATCTCATGGCAGTGCTGCTCATCTCTTAAAAGTGACTGTTTTATACCTTTTATAAACTAAAGAAAACTTTCATTGAATTGGTTTTTGGAAACCATTAAGTATATGGGGGAGCTCCCAGCTAAGGGGTGGAGCCAGTTAAGATTGACACAGGAGGACAAGTTACGCTAGCCTAGCACAGGGCCTGTCTGTTAGTGCACTTTAAACCTCACCCTAGGAGCTGAGGGTGTAGCTCAGCAGTAGTAATTGCCTTAGGATGTGCAAGGCTCCGGGGTTGGAACCCCAGTACTGAAAAAAACATTAAGTAAGTATTAAACGCCACCTTTGCGCCGGGAGGTAGCTCAGGCAAGCCTGAAAACCTGCCTTCCACCCCCAGCATCCCTAAAGCTAGTCATGGGGGGCGGGGAGCGCACACAGGCAGCTCCTTGGGACTCCCTGGTCAGCCAGCATGGCCTGATTGGAGAGCCCTAGACCCCAGCAAGAGAGCTTGCCTCAAAAAACAGGGTGTGCAGCTCCTGAGGGATGATTCTGAAGTTGGCCTCTGGCCTAAACACACACAAACACCTACACATAAATGAATACACACATGCTACCCCCCAAGAACCCTCCACCCTCACATTGTTTTAAAAGGTACCCAGTGTTCCCTTTAAGTCAAACATAACATTGCCATCTGACCTAGCAATTTCACTTTTAGGTTTACATCCACAAAAAAAAAAAAAAAAAAAAAAAAGGAAAGAAAAGAAAAAAGAAATTTGCCTTTGAATATTCATTACAGCATGATTTCCAACAGCTCTCAAAGTAGAAACAATTTGTATATTTCCCAACCCATGAATGGGTAAAGTGTGATTGGTTCACACAAGGCAACGCTAACCAGCCATCATCAGGAGTAAAGTGAATGTATGCTGTGATGTGGGTGACCCTGGGAGACAGAGGAGTAAGAGAAAGAGGCAAGACACAAAAAGGCCCATGCTGTGTCTGTTTATATGAAATATTCAGAACAGGCAGATCCACAGAGACAGAGAGCAGATTAGTGGTTACCAGGGAGCGGATTTGGGAATGAGTGCCTCACCCATCCAGAACTTCTTTTTAAAGGTGATGAAACCCAGTGGAAAAATAAAACAAAACTCCTCGGACTGTTCTCTTGGATGTGAGTTCCCAACCTAAGACAAATAAAATAATAGCTGCCTCATAGCAAATGCTTATGGATTCCCCCGGAGACTCGACCGTGGAGGGTGGGGTGTAGCAGGAAGTCTGTCTGATCAGACTGTCTGTCCCTCCGAGTAGCCGCTGGCCCAACTCAGGCTGCAGGAATGTCCAGGTCCAGGTTTATGGTTCTCCCTGGCTGCCTAAGTGTGGCTCTGGGACACGTAAGGATCATGTGGACACGGCCTTCCTTCCAGCCAGTACCCAGGGAAGGGTCACAGCTGAACGCCAACCCCAGGTGACCACAGAAGTTCACGCTATCACAACCTCCCATCCATCCCTTGTCTAAATATTCGATTGCCGTCAGCATTTTACTTTAGAGAGACAGGAACAAAAGCTGTTTGCAATACCGTGAGTCTTTTCCAGTGCCGTCTTTTCTGTACCCCGAATAGAAGTTTGCCATTGGTTCCCTTTCCCCTGACCCACCTCTACCCCATTGAGATCCCATTTCCAGCTGGGGCTGGAGCCCAGTGACAGGACACACACTTAGCATGTGTGGTGCATGCACAAACAAGGAAGAGACCCTACCTTCCTGAAATCAGTTTCACACTAGACCCAGCATTCAGCAAAGACTAGAGAGCACAGACATGGCTTAAACACCATCCTTGTTAAAATGGCACAACCTTTCAGAACGCTCCCTGGGTCTACTTCTGCTTGCTCGACTCTCGCTCTTAACTCCGGGCTGCAGTCATCCCAGCCCACGCAAAGGCCTCTGCCTGATTCTCCATCTTTCACTGCTGGTCTGGTCAGGGCAGGTTTTTTTCTTCTCAGGCCCATGCTAGCTACCTGGTCCTTAGGATTTAACCCTGGATCTGATTCTTTGTGAATAGGCTTGGCTCCCCTTCCTCTATACCTTGCTGTTATGGTTTGGGTCGTAAATGTCCCTCAAAGGCCATGTACAAAAATCTTGGTCATGGCCTCCTGTGCTCTTATGGGTGGTGCATCCTTCAGGAGGTGGGTCCTAGTGAGAGGAAGCAGGGTCACCGGAGGTGTGACCCTCTAGTCTGTCTTCTCGGCTTCCCAGCTCCGCTGTACCACACTCTCCCCACGGTGTTTCTATTTCACCGTGGGCCCAGAAGCAGTGGAGCCACGTGGTCACGGACTGGGACCTCTGAAACCATGAGTCAAGTTCATTTATAAGTTCATGGTCTCAGGTGTTTGGCCACAGAGATGAAAAGCTGACTAGTACTTTTGAGCGATTACGCCAAACCTTCCCATCTTCAGCAACCATGCTTTCCTTCAAGAAAAGACCCTTGAGTGTTCCCCCACTAAAGGAGGCTCCACACACCCACACACACTCACGCCTCTTGGCTGGTGCCGTGTATCTTTCCCTGAAGGTTCTGCAGGCATGCTCTGTAAACCTCCAGGACTCTTTCCCAGGCTCTCACTCGTTCGCTCCCACAATGCACTGCTCTGTGGACCTTCATTCAGTTGACATCTATCCCCACCCCTACAAGTGTAATGCACTCATTGTTCACCATTCATTCATTCATTCATTCATTCATTCATTCATTCATTCATTATTCATTCACTGTACGAATGTTCATTGAAAGTCTACCTGTGTGGAGAAATGCAAGTGTGGAAAGAAAAGAAAAACAGAAGACACGGGTACAACGTTATATTCACGTAAACCAGCAATGGAGAGATTAAGGAAACTGAGGTAGAAAAACTCAAAGGAGTTTCTCCCTTCCCAGGGAGTGTCTGGGTTGCTGATGTCTTAGGGGGCATATTAGTTAGGATAGTGGTAGGCTCTGCTGCAGTTAAGGATGGACCACCAAGTGTCTGTGCTCTGCACATTTATTTCTCTCTTCCAGATGTTTGCATGTGGGCCAGGCAGCTCTTTGGGGCCCTTCATGCTCCACCATCAAAGCTGCTCTCATCTTCTAAGTCCAACTTAGTCAGCAGCTCCCTGCTCCCTGGAGAAGGTGAGAGCTTAGGGAGCGGTGCCCTGCACTTTCCATACCTCACAGGCGGTGTGCCTTTTCTCAAAGTCCATTAACGGAGCAGGCCACGCGGCTCCGCCCACCGGCCAGGGGGCTGGGGCAGTCTGGGGGTGTACAGTCGTTAAACCACAGGTCTCTGTTCCAGAGTGGAGGCGAGTAGAAGAGGCCAGAGGGTGTTGGAGTCAGAGGGGAGAGAGAGTCGAGATACCAGGGAGCGACAGAGGAGGTAAGAGGCTGAATGCAGGAAGAGGAGGGGATTGGTGAGCCAAAAAAACGTCGGCTTTGGGAAAGGCAGAGGTGGTGTGTGTCGTTCAAAGTCACACACCAGCCAGGTCAGTCTTGAGAGCCCTACCCTGGTAGGGCTCCTGAATACCACATAAGGAGGTAAATGTGAAGACCACAGGGACATGCTTCCAGCCCCAGAACTGGCAAAGCAGGCCTGGAAGATAGGCATTTTCATTCCTCAGTCCCGTCCCCCCCAGCCTGCCACCTCGCCAAACCATTCTCTGTAGGGCACCAGGGGAGCCCAGAGGAGCCGCACTGTCTGGCCTCAGCCGACAGCTGTGGGGTGGGCCTCCTTCCTCATCCATCTCCTTCTCTGGAGCCTCCTGAGGCACCTGGCTCCCTTGCTCCACCAGTGCTCCTTGGTTTTTTTAAATTTTTCAAATTTATTAACCATTTTAAGTGTGTACAACTGCCTGCATGTATGTGTGTGTGTCGTGTGCATGCCTTTTGTGTCAAACCTCCTGAAACTGGAGTTGCGGGCAGTTGTGAGCCACCGTGTCGGTGCTGGAAACCCAACTAGGCGCCTATGGAAGAGCGGCGAGTGCTCTGGACCATTGAGGCAACTCTCCGCCCCTTCCTCCTGCCTGCTGAGTGGAGCCCTTCCCAAGGTCTGGCCTGTGCTCTCGGTTCCCCATGTTCTCTCTCAATCTCATTTAAGATGTGGTTTATATGCCTGGCTGTGCTTTCCCAATCCTGATCACGAGTGTGTCTCTCAGTTTTTCCAAGAGCTTCCAGCCAATGATGAAAATCCCCCCGAGTTCCTCCAGAGCTCCTGGGTTCATAGTTCTGGCAGATTGGTTTGTGTTCATACATAAAATAACCTGGGGTGGCTTATCGTGACCATCGATTTGATGTAATTAAGAATCACCTAAGAGACAGAGCTCTGGGCAGGTCTGGGAGGGTGTGTCCAGACACGTTTCACTGAAGCAGGAAGACCCACTTGGAACGTGCTCCCTTCCGTGCTAGGCTGGGCTCCCAGACTGACTGAGAAGAATAAAGCCTGCCTGTCTTTTATTTCTGCTTCCTGACCAGCTGCCTCAGGCTCCTGCTCATATACCTCCCTGGCCCAGATGGACTATCCACTCAGCCAGCATGCATGTTCCTTCCTCAGACATTTTGTCACGTCGCCGAGAAAAGCACCCAATACAGCTGCACAGCCAAGTCCGTTCAGTCTCCTTCTACAACGCTAAGCTGCCCCCTGCCCCCACGTTCCCACTGTCCTTCATCCTCAGCATCCGGGGCCCCGTCTCTGTTCACGCCTGCATCCAGGCAATCCCCACTTCCATTTCTTCCCACCGTTGTCTGTGTCTTCCTCTTCTCTCTTCCATCTATCTGCCTTGCTTAGAAGTTAACTCACCCCGGGATTCCACTCAGTTTCCCCGGGGTCCTTCCGGATTTTCTTCCCACCCTCACCATCTATCCGAAGCTTGGATCTGCCCCTCACCTTCGGTAGTGAGCTCCTCTGGGTTATCTGGAAGCTCACCCTTGCCCGCCTGGCGGAGTTTAAGAGGGGGGCTTCTCCACGTCACGGGCTGGTCTTGAACTCATAATCCTGCCTCAGCCTCTGCTGGTATTACAGGCATGCACTGATATGCCCAGTGTCCGCGTTATACCTGGGGCCTCCCCATTCTTGCTCTCCCACGTGTACGGGTCTCATACTCTAGGAAAACTGGTTAATTCTGGTTCTTCCAGCATATCTAGAGTTGTTCTTTCTTTCGCTGGCCCTTGCTCAAGCTTTTTCTCCTGCTACAATGCTCCTCCCAACCCAGCTCTCACTTCTCCTTCTGTTGAATCCCATCCATCTTTGAAGACTCTTTTTTTTTTGGGGGGGGGGCAGGGGGTCGGGTATTGAGACAAGGTCTCCTTCTATAGTCCCTGTTGGCCTTAAAGTCTTGGTAATTCTCCTGCCCCAGCCTCCCAAGAGCTGGGCTTACAGCATGGGCCAACACACCGGGCTCTCTGAGTCTCTTTTCTTTATCATATTCTCCCTTGCTTGGCTTTGTATCTTTTGCTACCGGAACATTTCCTTTGCAGCTCTCAGAAGCACTTGTTTTTGTTTTTGTTTTTTAAACCATGTGACACTGCCTTTACCCAGATGACTTCCCTTTGGAGGCCGCCCAGCCAGGGGCTCTCCTCTGTGTTTTCAGAAAGTGAATTGCTATGATGTGCTTCAGGAAGCAGGTTCTTCCTTGGCATTTGTGTCTTCAGCCACAAAATTAAACAACCCATAGGTTGGGTTATTAGCAATCCGGCCAGTGTCTGGGCTTCCACGTTCGGTGAACATTCCTGAAGCATTGTTTGCTGACTGCCTGAGCTGGGTGGGGTCAATCTGGCTGCTTTGCATCTGCGTTAGGGGCTTCCCAGGCAGGTGGTTCTTCTGGAACATTCCATCGGGTCTCATTTCTGTGAAACCCACCTCAGCCTGGCCACAGTGGGGTGGTCAGGCAGATGCTTGAAAAGGAATTCAGTTCTGAGGGGGACTCCCTATGGGCTGATGAGGCGAAGCCTTGGACCGGGGAAGTGGCAGGACTACAGAGTGAAAAGTGGACTGTACTTACTTCAAAGCCACAAGAAGTCTGTCTGGGAGCCGAAGGAAGGCACCACCACTCTGGAGGCTAAAATGCTGAGGGAGGGAGACTGAGAACTTAGTGGAGCAGTGACCTGCGGGGTGGGGGAGGGGAGTGAAAGTTCCAGCATCCTGAGGCTAGAGCTGGAGTCGCCCTGTTTTATCCCCCTGTGGCAGCATCAAAACAAAAGCATCTTTAACAAAAGCCTTGATCGGGGGTTTAAAATGATCTGGCTCTAAAATGTAGGAACAGGCTGGTGGGATGGCTCTTAGGAGAATGCACTGCTCTTCCAGAAGACCCGCGTGTGGTTCCCGACAAACCTATCAGGCGGCTTAGTTTCCAAGTGTCTGTAACTCCAGTTCCAGGGGACTCTTCACCTCTCGCCTCTGCACTCCTTTGTGCATACCCACACCGGGACACACATACACACACATGGTTAAAAACAACAATTCAAATCTTTTTTTATAAGTGTGAAGCATTTTGTTACCCAGAGGCAGAAGGAATAATGCAATGGGCACTGGACTCGCCTCACAGGGGACTGGGACACTTTGGAGACCTGACCCAAAGCCCCACAGCAAGGAAGCAGGAAGAAGTGGGTATGGAGGGGAGGTGGGGGACAAAGGAATGTCCACCTGTCCCCACCTGCCCGTCCCTGCTCTAGAAACTCTTTGGTAAACTGCTGGGTAAACTGTCTGGGGACACCTACTGCGGCTCAATTCTTCCGCTTTGTAAACAGAGCCCCAGAGAGATTGGGACTGCACATCTGAAGTCACACAATGGAGAGTATCAGAAACTCAGATCCAAGTTCTCAGGTGGCCGCGTCATGGATCTTTGTACTCAGCCTCCTTTTCAGTGGAGGAGAGCTCCCACATGCTGGACAGCGTCAGGAGGCTGAGGCCTGTGTGCTCCCCACGGACTGACTGCAGGTGGGTGTGGGAGAGGCCGGGTGTAAACAAACAGGGGTAAATATTTCTATGCCAACTGACCATCTGACCTCCCCAAACAGCTGGACTTCTGCCTCTGCCTGCCAAGAGAGCAAAGCCCGTTTTGATTTGGTGTCCAACACCTGTCCCTGTGCCCCATGCTCAATGCGTGCTCACGTTTGTCCCACACTTCCACCTCAGCAGCCACCATTCTTAGGGACCGAACCTGCAGCGTCTCCACACACTCCCTGGAGCTGGTGTAAGTCTTTTTACCACCTGCCAGCTCCCGCCACTGCCCTACCTCACCTTGACGCTCCTGGCCTTCTGCCAACCTGCTCTCTCTCACCTGGGCTAGTGGACCCCTCAGCTCTGGGCCGGGTAGGATCTATTCCTTCCTTTCTTCCTTGACCCATCTTGCCAGCTCCATGTCCCCTCTGCTTCCCCTTTTAAACCACTAGGGTCCTTGAATCTCGGCCTTCTTGCCTGTCTTTCTGGGCACTCCTGTCACTCAGGCAGGGACAGAAGCAGCATCCAGGCTGAGTCAGGGTCTCTGTCGCTGTGAGAAACACCATGACCAAAAGCAACTTGGGGAGAAAAAGGTTTATTTCATCTTACAGCTTACAGTTCATCGTGAAGTGAAGTCAGGGCGGGAACTCAAGGCAGGAAATGAAGCAGAGGCCACGGAGGAGCACTTCTTACTGGCCAGTTCCCGTGGCTTGCTCAGTCTGCTTCCTTATACAACCCAGGTCCATCTGCCCAGGGGTGATAATGCAACATGGAGAGCTAGGTGCTCCCACATCAGTCACCACAGGCCAGTCAGAGGGAGGCATTTTCTCAATTGCAGTTTCTTCCTAGATGGCCCCAGCTTGTGTCAAATTGACCAACAAAACAAAACCTCAAACAAAGAAACTATCCAGCACAGGCCCTACACACAACCTGTGGAAATGAAACCCATTTTTCAAATCATCGATCACTGCCCATGAGTGGGTCTGGAAATCATCCAGGAGATTACAACCAACCTTCAAAAGAAGCAGAAAAGAGACAGGGTCGGGCACCGTAGCTGGCAGAGTACTTGCCTGGTAGCCATAAAGCTGTAGGTTTGATCCCTAGCACCACATAAAACTCCAGGCATGTGCCTGGAATCCCAGCACTCTGGAGTAGAGGCAGGAGAATCAGAAGTTCGAAGCTGTTCTTGGTTACAGAGCAAGTTCAAATC